AACTATCAAAGCTGAGCTTTGCTTTCTGTATATTCCAGCTGGAATGAGTATTTGTGATGAAAGAAAAAATAGATTTACTCTGTGCTCACCACATAATTAAGATCCTTGTGCAGTAACATCTAAGATAAATACCTGGAAAGGGTTACTAGTTTTGGAGGTGGGGAGAGGGAGACAGTTTAGTTTGGAACAAAAAGTACTGTTTGTGACCTGCTCAGTGGGAGAATCTGCAATGCACCAGTTTTTACACTCAGTAAAGGTTTTTATGTTCAGCAAAGATTTATTTAGGAGATATTCAGGAATTTGATATGGTGGAAGCCATGTAACTTCTGAGAAAACTGTGTGCCAACAAGAGGGCTGTCCTTCACCCTCCACCACTCAGCTTGGCCTACAAAGAATATCTGTTAGGAAGTAGGGATGAAAAAATGCACTTCACAGCTCCCTGTATCTCATCTGTAGGGATTTATGATGTGTCTTGGTGCAGTCATTTTCCCAGTAGCCCTGTCTGCTTTTTCATCCTGCTGCCATGTGCAAAATCCCCATCTACTGCCAGCTGTTGTGCATGGCAGGGATACAAAACAGGGCTTGGGTTCAGCCCTCACACGGAGGGGTGTGTTTGGCAGTATCTCTGGCAGGAGGATGGATTCAGATGTGCTGACTCGACATGTTTGCAGCTCTCTGGGTTTGCCCAAGCTGGGCTTGCATGAGCCTGTTTGTGTGTACCTGTGAGAGACTCCCATCCTCCTCTCTGCAGACCCAGGAGAATCAGATGCCTTGCTGCCAGTTCCCTTTATCATGTCATTTAGCAGGCCTCAGTGGGTGGCTGGGGATCTTCTTTTTCTTTTTGACCTGTGCTTTGTACCACAGAGCTCAATTTCAGTGCTCCCAGCAGCTGCCAGGTGATGCTGGAGTGAGGTGGGACAGGGAGCAGGGGATGTGACACCACCCTGTGTTTCCACAGGCTGCAGGTGCTCCCATGCATTTTCTGCTTCCATTCTCTGCTTCCCTTCAGCCCAGACCTGCCAGAGTTTGCAGAACCCATGTGTGGGAGCCTTTAGCAAGCTGGGATCTGAAGCCTTTGGCTGATGTAATTACACAAACAAGGCTTTGCTGACAACCACAACCTTTGCCTGCTTCACTGTCTGCTGCCTTGGGTCATGATCTCTTAGTGCTGGGACTTGGGTATGAGGAGTAGGGAGTGTAATTATGCCAAGATCAATTGAAATTTGAAAACTTTTAAGTCTTTAGATGGTATTATTTACCTATCATGGTCTATCCCAAAATGCAAATGCATGCAAACCATGAGTTGCCTTTTAAAAAACCTCCTGTGAAATCCAGGACATCTTGGACATCTTTACAGGCTACAGAGGGAAACATCTACTGTGTGAAAAGTGCCCTGCTATATTTTGCATCCACAAAAGAGGTTAAGAAACTTTGGGAAAAGCCCTGAAGTGATCTGAAATTTGGACAATGTACAGTGCAATTTGCCTGCCTTGCAAGGATGGAGAGTTTAGGCAACTCTGCTTGAAATTAAAGCTGACTCCAGGGAGGCTGGATGTAACAAACAGGATGCCTGGATCTCAGTGACATTCCCCTGGGCAATTGGAGTTATTTGTATACAGAAAATTGCCAAGCTGCTATCTTTCTTCTTCTATAACACAAGTGAAGCCAAAGGATTTTGGTTTGTTCTGAATGCTGCTGAAACTTTATTCCCCTGCACATGGATCATCTCTGCTGAAAGCTGAGTTTCATCATGAAGCAAATTTTATCTGTTTAGATCTTAAATCTTTTTAGGGCAGAGATAAAGGGTAAGAACACATAATCTCAGCTTTCTAATATTGACACATAATCCATTAGGGCTTTTTTTTTCCCCTTGGAAATGTATATTACATCCTTGCCCACTGCTTCCAGAGCATACACAAAAAAATCACTTTAGTGATTTTTTAATTTTATGTTGAGAGTATAAAGAACACCCTGTAAGGAGAGCATGTTGTGCAATGTAGTAATTTCTGAGAACTGGTGGCTCTTGGGCCATCTGGGGCAGATTTGCTGCCTGTGATCTAACCAAACCTTGGTTTGTTATGGAGGACCCTGTGATTTTCCTTTGTTTTCTCAGGAACAGCAATAAAAAAGTATTTTTGAAGTTCTTTAGAGAAATCTACCTTAAATCATACATTAACTTACTGGATTGTTCAATTTTGTGGCTTCTCTTTTCTAGTTTCTTATCTTGTGGCAAAAAGTAATTACACTTCACTTAACCATGTATACTTAACTTTTTTTCCATCAGTAACAACTGGCTTAACACTTAATGGACAATTAGCCTTCCTTCCTCCTGCCTGAATTACCTTGTCTTGTCTAGAGTTAGTTTGGACTGTTGAGCCAAAAACATACTGATCTGATTCAAAGTTGGGTATTAGTTTACAGAATTAGCTGTTGATCAGTTTATTGCTTTAACAGAAATTGATGCTCAAAAATGCAGGTATTGATGAGCTTGGATTAGGTGCATTTAGTTTGAAATTCAGTGTACAAAGCTGTCTGTGCTGTGCAGGGGTGTGACATTCCTCTCTCCCTGCTCTCCCACCCTCCTTGGGGCTGCTGCTGTCTCTTGCCAGGGGAATGGATTCGGCTCCATGCAGAGAAATCCTGCTCACATCCTTGTTGTGGTGATGGGCTGGCTCTGAGTCTGACCTGGGAGATGTTCCAAATCACCCCCAGCAGCAGGCTGGAGTTCCAGGAGCTTGGGTGTGAAACAGAGCTGCTCTCTGTGCTGGCTTTGATGGAGCCAGTGCTCTCACAGTAGGAGTGGAGCCACAACCCAAGCGTGTACTGGGGATTTTATTAACCTGCCACCCTTTGTCAGTGATCCCTCTTGAAGGGCACAAGGGGAGGGAAGGATTAGGACTGTGATTTTTATCTGCAAAATGGACAAAAAGCGTTTGAGCAGCTCAGCAGAGAGAGATCATTTACTTAAAGGAGAAATAATAAAGGCACAGAGGAAAACTGGACTCCTCCAAGAGGAAATTGGGCTGTTGAACTCCACTGGAGTTCATCAGGAACTCTTCCAGCAGGCACTTCTGTGCTGCAAGCTCATCCTGGAGTCCCAAAAGCAGCCTTGGAGCAGGACAGGACTGCACATTCTAGCAGTGATTAGTGCCCATTAAGGTACAAGTGGTGTCCAGTAAAGTGCTTTTGGCTACAGACTAATAATTCTTTATTTTTGAGGCTGCTTGATCTCGTGCATCACCCAGTGAAGGATTTTTCTGCTTTATTTTTTTTGTCTCAGTTGAAACTGCAGATATTTCCTTGACCTTTCAGTGAGCTGGATGCAGTTTAGATGAGGATCTGGCCACTGCAAACTTTAGTCATTTCACTTGTTGCTCCTCACCAATGGTCTTTTGCCTCTGTTTTGTGCCATGGACAAGCTAAAGCAGCAGCATAAAAGTCCTGATATTTGAACATAAGTCATGTAATATTATCAGGGGTTTCTAATAATTTGTATTCAATGTCACAGTCTTCTGGAAGCAACTTTTATCCCTAGACTTTGCAAATTGCATTTTGAATTTCTGAATCTGGGTAGATTTCTAGATTAATTCCAAGTACTTGTAATAATCTATCTTTCCCACCCCTAATTGATTTATTTATTAATTGTCCCATTCACTCTTTCTACCTAAGTCTTCAGCAGATGTCTTTGCTTGAGTCAAACAGATTCTTCAGGATTTCAGAAATCTTTTTTTGAGGCCCATACAGCAAGTTGTAGGACTGACAAAAATAGCTACCAGGACTGAACCTTCCTGCATCACTAAAAATGGCTTCTTTGGGAGAAATAGGCTGATTATGGCTGTATTTCAGAGATGAATCTGAAGTTTTAACCCTTCTGTTAGAACCTGATTTTAAAACAGAGGATTCCTAACAGACGGAAAAAGAAAAAAGGAAAACATGGGAACAAATCCAAATGACGAATAAATAAATAAAAATAATAAGCAATTAAAAAATAAATATTATCATAATAATGATGATAATAATAATGGTAATAATAATAGTGGTAATGATAATTAATATTATTATTATTATTATTATTATTATTATTATTATTATTATTATTATTATTATTATTATTATTATTATTATTATTATTATTATTTTTATTATTATTTTTATTATAACAACAACAAAAAGCCATTATTTGCCCAAAAAAAGCACAAGAACCCTTTGTAGAGATGCACAGGCTAACTTTCATGTCCCAATGCTTAATTTTTCCATCTTTTCCCTCGTGCCCTGTGGTGCATATGCATTGTGTGCTGTTGCTCCACCCTCTGGAGTGATGCTTTTCTGTGGTGCTGGTGCCCAGCTCTGGAATGGAGGTGCTGTGCAATTCCTGAGCATTCCTGACTCTGTGCCTGGGAGAGAGGAGATCATGGGCCCTTAGGAGCTGTTGCTGCTCTTCTACAAAGTCTGGCTTACCTGGTCCTAAGTTTTCCCTGCTGCTTCCAGTAATTTGGCATTGTGAATGGTTTTAGAGGGCAGTGAAGCTGTAACAATTTTTATTATTTATTTTGGAGTCAGTATTGTTTAATCACACATTCAGTAAGTTTTTTTCCCAAGGGTTAGGCTTGTTTTTTGTCACAGATTTTCCACCTGAGCCTTGGCAGGAGACAGGGTGACCAAAGCTGTTTTTTCCAGGTGTGGGAAATTGTCTCAGGTAAAAATGTGCAGGAGCTGTTTTAAGTAACCCTGCAAGAAAAACAGATAGTGGAGAAAAAGGGGTGAATCAGAGGTATTGCAGTCAAATGGCAAAATTAGATAAAGTTAGGAAAAATTTGAAGAAAATTAAAAATAAACAGAACACTTGCTCTTGACAACAGCAAAAGGCAGCCCCTCAGTTCTTGATGAGTAATTTTTGTTTAGCAACAGGCTGAGCAACTTCACATTCTTGTGTATGTGTGTGCTCTGGTGCCCCTGGCTGGCAGGTGGGACCTGCTGGAGGACACTTTAAAAATGGGCTTTTAAACATGACACTCTCTGTTGTTGGGATGTCACAACGTGGTGGCAGCAGCAACCAAACTGCGTAGGGTTTGGCTTCTGTGCCTTAAAGAGCTACAAATAAATGAAAATGCTGTGCCTGGAAGTTCAGCTCTCGGCACTGCTGAAATAAAATAAAAAAGAACAGAGCTCAGGAAAAGGCAATTGGTATCAGACTTCACCGTTTCACTCCCAAAGTCAGATCTTTGAATTTAAGGACAAAAATAAAAGGCATTGCAGAAAACAAAGAGGAGGCAGGGAAGTTTATTGTTTGCTTAAGTGGCTCTTGGGGCTTTTTTGGTGATGTGTATTTCCTAAGCTGTAGAAGCATTTGAAGTGGGGAAACATCTTCAAGGAAGTGCAGTTTCCAAGCAGATTCCGATACATTTCCTGGTCCAGCTCTTGAGATGTTTTCATGTAAACCTGCTTCTTGCACTCTGGGCATCGTCTGCAGTGAGCTACCACCCTCTTCAGTTTCCCTGTCGCCGATTTTAGCCTCGGAGCCAGCTGCTCGCGATCCCTGAGTTTTCTCAGGCAGCTTTTCCCAGGAGCGTCTCCTGCTGCCCACACCCCTCCCACCCCACCCCGCGTTCCTGCGCTGCCTCCCGGCTCCGTGGGACGGGAGAATGGATCGTATGCCCGTCCCGGCTGGCTCCTGCCGCCGCTTTCGGGGAGCATCCGCGGGGCTGGCAGGGCAGGCGGCTCTCGGGGGGCGGCTCTCGGCCCGCCCGGGCCGGGCAGCTCCATAGGGAGCCTGGGCTGGGCTGGACCCGGCTCCGGCTGCGCGGGGAACAGAGCGCGGAGCCTCCGCTGCCCCTGCCCGGCATCCTGGCAGGACCATGGTGGAGCTGAGGGGATCCCCAAAGAATGCAGGGCACAGGTGAGACACATCCCTCCGGACACGGCCGGGTTCCTGCGGCGATATCCCTGCCCGCGATGTCCCTGCCGAGACATTCCTGCCGTGATTCCTGCCCCTGTATTCCCGCCGCGCTATTCCTGCCCCAATATTCCTGCCCCAATATCCCTGCCCCGATATCCCTGCCCCGATATCCCTGCCGCGATTCCTACCGTGATTCCTGCCCTGATCCCAGCGGGGCGGGGTTGGCTGGGAGGCACAGAGGTGTTCTGCTGGAGGTTTAAATGACTTGGCTCAAAGCGACTCGAAACTTGCCGGGGTTTTGTCCCTGTTACATGTCTGTGCATTTTCTATTCATTTATGCATTTTCCTTTTATTCGTTTTTTCAGCTTGGTGCAAAGGTCTTTAAAGGGATACATTCCTTTAAAGAGATGTTTATGTTGGTACTTTTCTGCTCACTGGTACGGAAATTAAGTGTTAGTATTAGAACAACGTGTAGATGCAAAGATGAAGAACAGGTTTTTGTAAACTGCTTAAAATCTATTTTATTGCCACTAAAATCACAAGATTTCTTTTTCTCCCTCTCACTGAAAGCCCTTGCCTAAGCCCTTACTTTACCTAAGGTAGTACATTTTTAAATGACATTGGATTTCTAGATAAGGCCATCATTTAAGGGCACCCTGTAGGAATATTTGTCAGAGTTTCCTTGTGGCAGGCATTATGAGATGTTTCTAGCATAGGAAGGATGTTGCCAACCTTGCTTCCTGTCCCCCAGAAAGTGATGATAAATCAAAGCAGTTCAGGGAATCCTACAGGTTCCACATAAAAAACAAGAAGATTCGGTTTCCTTTCAATATAAAGGACACTGCCTTAGCAATGGCACTTGCTTTTCCAGCAGCTTTTGTACTAAAATATATTAAGTGATAGCAAGCTAGAAAACATTTAAGTTTTCTGCCTTTTGATATGGTTGAGCAGTTTCCAGTAGGTACAAAACCAATAAATGCTGTCTAAGGAACCAGGGAATGGAATCTCCTGAGTCAAATGTTTTCTACCTTGGAAACCTCCTTTAATAGGTGCTGATTACGACCTCCTCCTTAGTCATTTTCCTCCTCATCTATAGACAGGGTGAATACTAATTTACTAACTTGGAGAGACTGTTTTTGTTAGCCTGAACCAATGGGCTTGTTCTGCAGCTGCTTTTGAATTACATGATCAGAAAATGAAAACCTTCTGCCTCAGCTTTTTTTCAGACAAACATGCAATTCTTTGAGAAAGCAAACTTTTGGCAAACTGCTCAGAAAAGTTCAAGGCACCACAATGCCTATTCCTTCCAAATTTCATTTAAGTGTTTTTTTGGGGTAGTTACCACGAGGTTGCCTTTAGAATTTCTGGTCTCGTTTTTGGGGCTCTTTCATATGATTAACATGTTAATAGGGTAGAGAATTAAGAGTACAATACAGGGGAGCTGTGGAAGGCAGATGTGAACAGCAACTTACATTCCTGCAAATTTTTCATGTTGTTGCCCAGCTTTATCTGATACTCTGTGGGTACTCTTTCTCTCTTTAAAATCTCCAGGGAGGGAAAATAAGTGTAATTGCAATGAATACTTGAGGTGACTTGTGTCAGAAAGATCTGTCATGGCTCTTTAAAGCTCATGGGAACAAATCAGCTTCATTTGTGCATGAGCAGGAGGAAGGGACATTCTGCTGCACTGAGCCTTGTATTGCCATTTTCTGATATCTGGGAGTCAGTGTAACGTGTAATATTGGAAGTCAAAGAATTTGGGGCTGCAGCAAATTACAGGGTGTGGATGGCATTTGTAAATGGCTCGTTGGCATCAAGAGACAGATTCATTCTCCAGCCTCTAGAGGTATGTACCTTGTCCAATTCTCCACAAAGGGAGAGCTTCCTTTTATCTAGATTTCTTGGCTAATTGGCATCAGACAGCACAAATGTTTTTTAGGAGGGCTAATAATGGTGGGATTTGAAACTGGGCCAGTGGCAGAAGGGAGACCTAATGATCCCCTTCCATTTAATTTTCTTTAGCTATGGGTGACTGCTTCTGGTAAGGGAGAGGGAAATCTGCACAGGAAGTCAGCAAGCAAATAATGCAACTACGGGCAGAACTCATGGTTTCAGCACTATCACCTCCACATGTAAAATTGTCTACAGGCTGGGAGTGTGGATTTAATGGGAAATGATGGTGAAACTGTTGTGGTACACATGACTGTAAAAATGGGGTTACAGAGGAATGGCTGCTTCTCTGAGCAGGTGGTGGCAGCTACAAATGGCTGTGGTGAGTTTGTGTGGAACCATAGAACCAGTAAGGTTGGAAATGATCTCCAGGATCATCAGCTCCAACCGTTACCCTGGCACCTCCAAGGCCACCACTAAACAGTGTCCCTAAAGGCCACATGCACACATTTTTTAACACTTCCAGATGACTCCACCACTTCCCTGGGCAGCCTGTTCCGGTGCTGGACCACTGTTTCAGTGAAGAAATTGCTCCTGATGCATTCTTGCCTAGCAGAACAGTGCTGATCCTTGGGCTGTGGGTGTGATATTGCATTTTTCTTCTCCTGCACCTGCACTGTGCTGAGCAGAGACTTTAGCAGGGCAATGTTGTGATGTGAACACCTGCCAGAGGAGTGAAACAGCTCTGCCAAAATGTTTCCTTAGAGACGAGTCTCTGGGCAACCTTCAAAAGTAGCACCAACCCACAAGCATCAAAAAAATCAATGTCTGGTTTAAAAAGATGGGATTAAAACCATTTTTTCCTATTTGTTTATCCATTTTTCTAATTGTTTTGGAGTAGACTTCAGTCAGATTTCCAAGCTCAGTCTCACTGAAACCGTTACAGACAGGTCCTTTAGAATAGATGTTGTAATTGTCTCCACATCTGTTTGGTTCCAGGGGTAATGGCTACAGAAAAATGCCAACTATACAAAAGAAAGCATAATTCTAATGCCAGCTTTCACAGCATTCATGCCCTTAAAGCCTGGCCCAGTATGTCCCAAAGTCACTCCAAAATGTCAGCAGTGTTTTCTCCATACTGAGTGTCCAGGAGGAAGCTCATAGATATTGCATCAGCCAGAAATTAAGGTCATGTCCACAAGATGGAGGACTTGGTATGTCCTTGTAAAAATTCCTTCAACTCCGCAGTCTCTTCCCTTGCTGTGCTTCATTGCTTCACCACCAAATCTGGTCCCTAATTTGGGAACAGATTAAAAACCCCCTCCATATGCTGCCTTTCTTGCACCAATCCCCAGTGTTTGGCAGGGCCTTGGGCTTTGGCAGTTGCTGTATTTTGGTGCTCAGGCAGAGATTAACAAAGTCTCCCTATAAACACAGGTGGAACTGAGTGGTGAGAGGGAGGGAGCCCATGATTCATGGGCAAGGATAGGGAATCATGCTGCTGGTCACAGTCACTCAGTCTCTGGAGTGTTCTTGCTTTTCTGCTGCCTGGGAAGTGCCAGCCGGGTGCTTTGTGGCCACTGCACACTGAGAGCTTTTTGGTGGTGGTTTTCTGTCTCCTTAAGTGGTGTTAAAAATGCTGGTAACTTCTTTTTTAGTCTGTGCCAGTCATGGAGAGTTCAGCTCCCACCTGATGGTGTTGGCAAAGCTGTGGTTTCTTGATGCATAAAGGGAGCAAGCAGTGACCTGTGGGTGGAGTAAAGCTCCCTGCTGGCACGGCACCCTCAACCCTGCTCTGCAGGAATCGCTGGTATTTGGGTTGTGCTGAAAGCAACAAGTTGGACTCGTTGTGGGAGTGCTATGAGAGGCTGTTACCTGGAGCCAAACCTTGGAGGAAGAGGGTAAATAATGCTTCAGTTGATTGGGCAGTTCCTGTGTGATCTGGACAGAAGCTTAAGTGTCATGGTCAGTAGATCATCACATTGGTCATGGTGAATGGAAGCCATCTGTGTGGGTGTCAGGCATTCTGATGGAACCAGAATGGTGCAGACTGAATGACAGGATATTTATTTCTCTCTCATATTTAGTTCTCTGTCATGTGAACTGTTTTTCTCAAAACTCTAGTTCTGTTATTCTTTGAAGTCATAGAAGGACTCCAAACCAACCACCACCCAAACTCCAGCCCTCACTAACTTGTTCTTTCATTTGTTTGCTTATTGGAGATGTCATCCAAATGAGTCTAAATAAGAAAAATCTATCCTGGGTCTTTCCCAGCTCTGGTTGAGCCTCTATGCCCAAGGAAAAACAGTAGGTCAGGAAATAATAGTAGAGACCAACATGAATGGTGGAAGCATGCCAACAAAACTGCCTTAATCAATTATTTTCACAAAATACAGCACTTGTGAACACATGAATTGTGAAAACTATGTGGCCTGCAAGGTGAGGACGAAAAACTCCTGGGAAAAATGTTATTTTGTGAATGCCAGCATCAGAAATGAAGCACCCTTTACATTCTATTCCTTAAATATATATAGCTGAGTGTATTCACACTTTAATACAAAATGCCTGTTGACATGAGGCATATGGTTCACAGTCTGGAAAGGCACTCCAGAGTGGATGGCTCTGTAAATAACATCTTGGCCCTAATTTGGAATTAAATTAGCTTAATATTTTTGGAGTGGTCATTAATAGGTACTTAGAAACTTGCAGTCCTGCTAGAAGTGTAACTTAGCTGAATCCCTTGGCTATTCTGAGGATACCAGGGAAGTTGGCTTGAGTACAAAAATGTAATTAAGTTGGTGTGGAAGTGGGAAAAAATACCCCATGGTTGTTCATCAGTGAAGTTCTGGAAATCCAACAGTTGTGCCCAGCTGAATTACCTGTATTGTTATATACTACAGAAGGTCAAGGTTTGTTGTTTTTCTCACCTTCCTTTTGGGCCTTTCTGTCCCTATTTATCTTTCCAGGCTGTCAGTAGGCGCAGCTTTCACTGCCCCTGGATTCCTCTGTGTTCCTGAAATTGTTGTTTAGGAAATTCTTTTTTCCTGCCCCCCATCCTGAGTAAGCACTGGTAAAGGTCTCTGATCTCAGCTGGGCT